CAAGGATGGGAGGGGGTCCAATGACGGGTGCATCCAGATCCCCAGCACTACATGTGGGACATGAACGGAGAGGATGTGGCGAGTGATGACATTGGGGATTAGACCGCACAGTAGAGACACGTACTCTACATAACAACTCCCTGAAAACATTGATGACACATCGCATGTTGCTGGCATGCTAGCAGGAAAGTGGGCTCACACTCACACTTATCCACGCATAGTGGTCACATGGCAGCAGGCCGCAACGGCATATTGGGCAAGTAATAAGGGGGTTGAGGGGATGAATGGAAGACAGAGACGGGGTGGCAGTTTTCATGGCAGAGGCTGGCAGTGACCATGCCTTCAAACTTCAAAGCATACTTGCGGCGCACTTGTGCGGTGCGCCATGGGGTGCGCGTGCATCATGCGCTTTGCGCAAATTAGCGCTGAGCAAATGATGCGCGCGTTCTTTTTTTTTTTTTGGGGGGGGGGGGTTTGTCTTTATAGACGAGAGAGAGAGAGAGAGAGAGAGAGAGAGAGAGAGAGAGAGAGAGAGAGAGAGAGAGAGNGAGAGAGAGAGAGAGAGAGAGAGAGAGAGAGAGAGAGAGAGAGAGAGAGAGAGAGTGCAGGCCAAGGTCCTCTTTAATGTAAAAAGGAGGGTCACTGTGCAAGGAATTCGCGGGATCCTTCCACTCAGTAAGCGAAGGCCCTATCTCCAAGCAGGGGCGGGCACTGTATTTGCAGAAGCAAGAGCGGGCCATGAATATATAGTGTGAATTCAAATTCAGGTCTATGTTTGAGCAGTTATGGGTTGCTAACTTAGCCAGGCCCTTTTGGGCTCTGCACGTGATTCTCAGAGCTTCTCACTGAATGTGCAAAATTAGAATGAATATTCTGCTAGAACATGGAACCATACGCCGCCATATGTTTTGTCTTTTGTGCATAAGTAGTGGACCGAGATTTAGGGCTACTCCGCCTATTCCTAAGAAAAGAAAAACAAAAAAAGGAGAATCGCGTGCAAAGATCTGGCCTAGCGAAGTTAGTAACCCAAAACTGCTCCACAGACCTGAATTCAAATCCAGAGCATATATTCGTCCTGCCCACGCCTTACTCATACTTGAACGACCATCTCTGCTTCATGATGAGGTCTTGCCAATTTTCTGCAAGGGTCCTTCGGAAAAGAGATTGGAAAATAGAACATTCACACACAGTTTTTAGGCTTAATGTGTCCCCAATTTTTTTTTGTTTGCACTCAAATTTTTAGAAGGGAGGGGGCGTGTTTGATCATCACACCCTGCCCTTCCTGAATTTTTTTACTGACCCATATTTCGGGGATGCGCCGCATCACCTGCGCCGCATCACATGCGCGTGCGCTCTGCGCCACATGTGCCGCGACCCCGCGCACGGGATGCGCCGCAAGTATGCTTCAAAGTGATCAGAGCAGAGATTACGCAATGCACATGCTAACCAGACTGTACCCGTATGAAACACGATGGCATGGTGCAGCCACGCACCGTCCTCTGAAGGGCCCCTGCACCATCAGTGGCAGAATCTGTCTGATCTGCACAGGGAAGAGACACAGCCTGGCCAGGTAGAGGGGAGGAGGGAGGGTCGGCCAGATTGTTCTCTGCACAGCCTGGCCAGGTAGAGGGGAGGACGGAGGGTCGGCCAGATTGTTCTCTGCAGCAAGATTGTTCTCCCATAGCTGCAGAGCTTGCGACCACACATCCGCATACTGTTCCCGATTGACAAGCCAGGGCGAGTTGGACTCTGCCACTCAGTGATCGTATCGGTAATATTGCCCACCCAGTGCACCCTACCACCATTATCCCACAGGGTCCATGAATTATCCGCAAAGGTAGCATTGAAATGGCCCGGGCAATAAAGATGTATGTGCAAACATTTGGGTCCATCTCAGGCACATAATTCTGTGGAGCAGCCTGGGGCTGCAGTTATCCTCCCATATATACAACACTTCCATGCTCATGCCAGCTGCAATACTTTCATCCACTGGGCAAACAGCTCGCTGCTCTGCTTCTATCCTGCAGACAATGTCCACAAAATCAGAAGCCGTATAGGGGTTGCATGTGTGTGTTTTAAATTTTCACCACAACAGCCCCTGTTCCACCCAGATGAGTAGATGCAAAATCGAAGCACCTTTAATCCTATTGCATGTGTGTGTGCGTGTGTGTTTTAGACTGTCACCACAACAATCCCTTTTCCACCCAGATGAGTAGATCCAAGAGTGAGGTAGCTTTACGTCTATCAAGTTGTGTATTGTCCCATATCTATCAACTAAAAGAGCGCACTCTGCAAAGACAACGAAAAGAATAGCAGACAACACGAAGCACACAGAAGCTGTTGTTCTACACAGTTCTTTCTTCTCTTCCTTCCTTTGCCTTTATTTATGGTTTCTCTTTTATTTCCGTTAGCTCCCCATGTACTGTGCCTCTCACATAGGCTTGCCTCATTGATGTAGTTCAGACTGTTCAGAGCAAACTGCCCATATCCATGTGAGCCATAACAGCCCACTCGCACTACGAAGAGGAGGCAGAGTAAAGGGGGAGGGGTAACGTGGAATGCATACACACCTGTTTGCTTTTCAGCAGATCTGCACGTTACATTTTGTATATTCTCTTACTGATGCTCACGCATATGCATTCAGTAGTTCTGCACGAGGGGAGGGAGGAGGGAGGAGGGGAAAGGAAGGGAGTGTGTGTCTGTGCGTGGGTGAAGGGAGAGGATCAGGGGGCTAGGGGGTGTTCAAAGGCAGGTGTGCAGCTTTGAAAAACACCATAGCCATTTGTGCAGGTTGTGTAAGCAATTTGGAATGGCACATGATGCATAGCAACAGCCTCCCAAAATAGCACGACGTTTTTGTCTATTCTCTTACTGATGCTCACACATACGCATTCAAAGTTCTGCACGAGGGGAGGGAGGAGGGAGAAGGGGAGAGGAAGGGAGTGTGTGTCTGTGCGTGGGTGAAGGGAGAGGATCAGGGGGCTAGGGGGTGTTCAAAGGCAGGTGTGCAGCTTTGAAAAATACCATAGCCTTTTGTGCAGGTTGTGTAAGCAATTTGGAATGGCACATGATGCATAGCAACAGCCTCCCAAAATAGCACGACCACCTGTACAGATTGCCACCAAACCTTCGACTGGGATGGTAAGCCGCTCTTTTCAAGTCCATGTATTAAACGTGGGGAGGAGAATTGCCCTGCACCCTAGGAAATGGCGGTGCACAATAGGAGGGACAGGCAAAGGCAATGGGCCTCGCACAGGGCGGAGGGAAGGATGGCACAGGACAGCAGAGGTTCCGAGAAGTGGGCGCAACGGCTCTTGAGGTGCCCCATTGCCCCTGCACAATCCTGTGGGCAAACCAGCTGCCAAATACCCCTTAGGTACACAAATGTCCATGATCCGAACTACCAACTGCTGGATCTCCTGGGGCATACTGGCCTTTGGGGAAGATTGGATATTGGTCACAATTATCATCAACATGCAATCTCAACCGTCTAGTAGGCTGACAATAAAAGTGATTGACATGCAACCTTTCCCAAACGGACTTCCACCATATTTTCCCTGTCCTGCGAAAGTCCCATGCCATCATAATTCAAATCACAAACAAGGCAGATCCTAAGTTGCTCACACCATGCAATAGCATGGTCATCCTCAGACGAAAACGAGTGGACGAAGAAAAGGGAACGGTCCCAATCATTACCATCACCGACTTAGGCAACTGATTTGCAACAACTGTGCAAGTCCTGCAACCTTATACATGTATACATTTGGCAAGGAGAAAGGTAAGTTCCACCAATCTCATGTTTCTAACTTAGCCTGTATGCTCCACAATTATTACATCTTTCACTGAGCCACTTTGGATAGGTGGGGGAAGAACGGGAATATTTCGGGGGGAGGGAGGAGGGAGGCAGCAGGAGAGGGGAGTCAATGAAGAGGGAGCAGGGAACGGAAGGTGGGGAAGCTGAGGGGAAGGGAAGGGAGGAGAGGAGGAAGAAAAGGAGAGGTGGAAGAGGAGAGGGTGTGGAGAAAGGAAAGGAGAGAAGTGAGCAGAAAGAAGAGAGGCCCGAGAAGGCAGGCAGAGAGGGGGAAGGACATGGATGGGAGGACAGAGGGGGGAGGACCAAGGGGGTCGGACGGGGCAGGGGAGAGGGTAGTGGGGAGGATGGTGGCGGGTGGAGAAAAGGTGGGAAGGACGGGGGAGGAGAAGGGGGAAGAGGGACAAGGAGAGAAGGGAGACGAGGAAAGAAACACAGAGGAAGGGAAGATGGGAAGAGGGAAGAGATGGAGAGGACAGGGGAAGGACAGGAGGAGGACGGGAGGAGAGGGAGGAGGGGAGRGGGGGGGRGGGGGGGRGGGGGGGAAGGAAGAAGGATAAGCCGAGAAGAGAGGAGAAGAGGGGAGGAGAGGGAGGAGAGGGGAGGAAAGGAGAAGAGGGAAGGGCAGGGGGATGAGAGGGCCAAAGAGAGGGGGGCAGAGGAGGGAGAAAACAGGAAGGAGAGAGACGGGGGAAGGGGGAGGAGACGGGGGAGTGGGCAGAGGAGGTAGACCTTAGGAAGGAGGCAGGAGAGTGGAAGATGGAGCACAAATCAGTGCAAGGAGGGGGGAGGAAGGAGGGCAAGAGGAAATCACAGAGAGCGAGGAACAGAAGAAGAGAGAGCAGTGAGGAGACAAAGGAACGAGGACAGAACATGAGGCAGAAGGAGAAGGCCAAAAGGATAAGAGGGAAAAGGAGGCAAAAAAGACTGCGAAAGTGGATAGGTGCAAGGCAAAACAAGAACAAAGTGAGAAGCCCAAAGAAACAAGAAAACGAATAGCCAGGACGATGCCAAACAAGGAACAAAAAGACAAGAAACAAATGAAGGAAAGCAGAACAAAGGAAAACAAAATGGAAGAAAGGAAGAAAACAAGTGTTTCCCAGGTACAGAAGGAAGATGATAAGGTACGGGTGCAGAAATAGGGAGAGGAGGAAGCAGAGAAAACATGGAACAGGAGATCTTTTGTTACCCTGAAGGCCCGAGTATGCCTTCCATGCCTCCACTTGATCCTTCTAGCTCATCAGTATCACCACATCCACGGTTGTTATCACCACAGCATTCAGGTGGACATTCTGTGCGATCTTGCTGCCCATCCTCCTGAGCTTCACCCGTCGCCGGCCGAGGCTCCAATACATGTTTTACCTCCTCTGGAACACTATCCATTCTATCCATCCTCGCATCCTCCTCCACTGACTCCAAAGATTCTGTTTCGGAAATTGGCTCAAATACCCTTTGGGGTTCAAGTGCTCTGGGGCTTGGAGGGCTGAAATATTCTCCCTCAGCCAGCCTCATGCGAAGTGCTCCCGCACGTGGCGATCGAGTGGGGCTACCAGATGCAAAAGCAACACCAGGCGGAGAAGTTCCACGTTGTGTTATCACTCGCGCTGCACTCCTTACATGTGGCACTGGAGGCAAACCAGGGCCGATGTCGGCATGAGGTTTCATCACTGGGGGTAAGGGTGGCACTTCTGGAATGCCCTTGCCTGAAAAAGAGGCAAACAAAATGCAGGTTGTAAGTGGAAGCAGCAGCACAAATCAGAAACCACTCAGCACTGTTGGTTCCTAGCAGATCAGAAAAAGCTTGACCGCTGACCAGCGGACCACCAAACACCGTGACAGAATCTGAAATGCATCTGCCAGAAACAATTGCAGAATTCAGATCCTGAAACATGGTAGTGCAATTAGCAATTATCAGTACAACCAACTAATTTCCAACAGCATTCGAAGAGTGACTCACGAGTCACGACCATCCTTGACCAGTCACGGAAGACTTTTGGCTGATCAACTGCAGTATCTGTTCTGACCACTTCATTATCTTCTTTCCAAAGAGAAATAATCACTTGATAAACCAAAAAGACTATTACTAAACACAAGCTTGACACCTTCACACAAGTTTTTGGACACTATTTTGTACTAGCTCAACATTTACCCCTCCCTATATGTATGCATACATGGTCAGACCGTTTCAGGCTCAACCTCCTGACGTGTCATTGAAAGTCCGACAGAACAGTCTGTCACTGTCACCCTTTTTCCCGTGGAGTTGTTTTTGGCGAGCACACACATGCGCGTGCATAGATAGATAGATAGATAGATAGATAGACATATATATATAGAGAGAGAGAGAGAGAGGGAGAGGGAGAGAGAGAGAGAGAGAGAGAGAGAGAGAGAGAGAGGGAGCACCAAATCAAGCAATCAAGCAATCAAGCCATCAAGCCATCACACAATCAAGCAATCACACAATCAAGCAAAGACATATTCACAAGTCAGAATTGCAAATAATAATAACCAAATTGTGAAGAGGAGAGGCAATGAAGAATGGAGGGGACAAACATCTCACCTTGATCATTATCACACCCATCCTCGGTGGTAGCCACTACGCTGCTGGTTCCATCACTTGGCAATCTTCCTTTCTTCACACCATCACATTTGTTCTCTCCCTCAGCATCCATGTTTCCCACCGCCCCCTTCTTTCTCTTCTTTCCCAGCTTCTACTTTCCTCCCTTGCTAACCCACCACCAGCCCTTCCTGTGCAGAGCTTCGCCTGACTGTCAATAAACAGAAAGACAAGCGATTGATCAGTGCGGAGACCTTGGAGGCCACAACAGCACTTCCTCTTCACTCGTAAAAGAGTAGAGGCAAAGACCAGTTGCACTTCTTTACTCTTCACTTGGAGGGCGAACTCACATGGGAGAAGCTCACTCGGCAAGCCCCATTTGTCATTTGTTCACAGTAAGATCAACATGTTTGTAAATGCAGCCCAATCGCTGGACTCCATAACCATGGAATAGAGAGAGAGCCGATAGACTGATCATTCAACTACACGCGAGACCCAGTTTCCAGGTTTGGGCCTTCGGGTGGCGGGCCCGGGCCGGGGAAAAAAAAATAAATTGAAAATGGCGACCGTCGGCCGTACAAAGAGGCGCGGCCTGGGGAGGCCTGGCGACCATCTTGCATCCATCGGGTCCGGTCCGTTGCCCACCTGCTGTCGGTGTCGTGGCGCAGCATACTTTCAAGTGGCTCATGCCCGCCTGCTGTCGCTGTCGTGGCGCTTCGCCTTGCACCCGCCAACACGCGCTCGCAGCCGCCCGTGGTGCTTGCTGCCACTTCGCCTCGATTCATTCGATTTTGCTCATCCTATCGACGGAAGTAGTGTGGGGCCAGCCGGGATTCGAGACTTACCTGTTGGGCAGTGTGTTGTTTATCCTGTCGATGTAAATCTCTCTCTCTCTCTCTCTCTCTCTCTCTCTCTCTCTCTCTCTCTCTCTCTCTCTCTCTCACACACACACACACACACACACACACACAC